AGATCCCGAATTTGACTGCAAGTTCTTGCAGTTTGGCTTTCTCCTTGCCTCCATAGTTGATCTGCACAAGCTTGGAGACAGACACAATGTGCTCTTGAAATTCTGCAAAACGCTTGCCTAGGGGTCGTTTGAAACTCTGGATCCACTTGTCGACGTCCCCCTCTCCTGATCCCTTTAGCCGGGCTTTGTGATCGTTCAAGGCTTCAGCAGGAACACTGTCGATCTTACTCTTGAGGTCAGTCTCCCAAGTCTTCGGTGGTGTCCCGGATTGTAGACAAGGAGCACTAGATTGCGAAGCAACCGGGAGCTGTGTTTTTGAAGCGGATTTCGTGGGGGTAACAGGGAGTCCTGCGGCTTGCAACTGTTCACGGCGGCGGTTGAGCTCTTCCGAAACTTGAAGGAACTTCTGAGATTGGTCAACGCCTGTGGGCACCGGCATGTTGTCGAACATGAGCTGAACGATCTTGTCAACCAGCGGCTGAAACAGGACTGCACAATCTGTGTTCTTGTTGGGAATGATTGTAGATGGATTAGCGGCCTGAAAAAGTTGCGTAGCAACTGCATCGATGTCAACTTTGCGATCTCGAAGGTTCTTCGTCACTTGCGACATGAACACTGCTTCAGCAACTGTGGCAACTGGCACAACACTGAAAAACTTGCCGTGACTTAATGCTCGAAGACGCCAATCTGAAACTCCATGGAACAGGAATTCCTGAACAGGAATGCTGAGTGGATCTTTTCCTGCGATCCCTTTCTTTCGCGACCACGGGGTAGCTTCGATGTACTTACGAAAAGACAACCCATGAAGCACTGTTGAGTCATAATGATCACGATCTGACGCCCATCCATTCGGTAGTGCAGGAGCAAGAACAGGACCTTGATGAAGTGGCATGGGAGTAGACGGCGATGATGAAGGTGCCGAAGAAAGTGGAGGCGGAGGTAGGGGAGGAGGCTGACTAGCAGGAGCAGAATTGGAGAGGTTGGGATCATTCCAACTTCCCGAGCTATACGGCTGATAGCGATGCTGACCCCACGATTGTTGGGATCTCCCGTACCCTGTGTTGGTGTCCCACTGTCCATTCCATGCCATGGTTTCAGAACTAGCGACAAAGCTAAGTCCACGGGGTCGCTAAGGACACTTCGAATCAAAGAGCTCCGTAGGTGAACAAACCTGCTCAAGTTGTTCTCAAACTGCAGCACTTGCACATCGCTTGCACAACTCTAGCACCACACTTGCTCATCTCTTGCACCTCTGACGCACACCCTTGCACTACCGCTGAAACTTCACTTGCAGCACACTTGCATATCTCTTGCTGGCACACCTCACAATCTAAACTGGCATGTTTTCGACACGTGCATGCATACATAGCAATTGACAACGGAAGAGACTTGAGAACGCGGCTGGTCAAGGCAACTTACGGCACTCAGACCTTCCAAAAGACAAGAAGCGCTTCCGGGATGAAACATGAGGAGCGAAAGACCCATCTGCCATCTTTGGCACGGGCAACGTCACGAATGTAACTGCAGGAATGGTCACCCTCAACTCCTCCCATGGGGATCCTTGAATGGGGGGGCGTGAGGGACCCTTGTCGATTAAATGCAGATCCGAAAATGCACACCGGACGCTCACTCAGAATGCCACCGTACTTGGACGCCGCCTCTTGTGCTTGTTCTGCATCTGAAGTATGAGCCCTAGCATAGAAGGAAACCGGTGGGGACCACATGCTGTCACGAGCATCCCAATACGATGGTCGAATCGTTCCCTCAAGGAGGATAGAGGCAGCCCCGGCCACTGTTGTGTTGTGTGCAACAGGCAAACGAGCAATCCCTGCTGCCGAAGTATGCGACCTGACCATGGTCCTCTCAAAGTGGGTGAAGTGGATGCTCAAGCACTTGCACGAACTCGACAAAGAACGAAGCTCAACAGAGTGAACGTTTGCAGCTTGATCGGCTGCAGCAATTGCCTGAGAGACATACTTCAATGCCGTCGAGTTGACAAACTGGGAAGGAAGACCTAACAGGCTCATCAGATAGTCCGCAGTGCTTTGCATCAAAGAGCTGGCAACCTGCAACTCAAGATTGGCCTGTATCTTTCTCGAAATCTCACATGCCGATTTCATACGGCCAGGGCTGGAACTGATCAAGTGACGAAGAGCAGTAAACATGGGGTATAATGCGACCCAATTGAAGCTGGCTGAGTACACTTGTATTAGCTTCGCTTCTTCATCACGCACTTCACAACCCACGAAGTTCAGGAATCACGAAGAAGTTTGAATCTTGCTCCCACTCAACTTCCACATGCCCTTTGAGAAGAGATCGATTCACAAAATGCTCGTACGAATCTTGCAAGGGTTTAACTGGAAAGACGTAAGTCTGGTCCGCACTGAGCTGCCACCCTACACGATCTGCATGAGTACCAGGAATCTTATCGCAAATTGCACGAAGTCGAATGCTGTTAGGATCTGCGACAAGAGAAACTCCGCTTCCATGGACTTGCCGAAGTCGCTTTGAGGGCTGGGAAGAGTCATCCGTTTGATATGTGAGGGCTGACTGCTGGCTCTGACCAGAAGCTGCTGACTGATTCTGCTGAGAAACAACAGTCTGCTGAATGTCGAGCAAATTGTTAAGGCCAGCATACACATCTCTGTGGCCTCGGACATGAGTCAAGTTTGCCGACATGATTGCTGAGTATTCAGCAAAATCGGCCACCGAACGAAACGACAGACGGAAACCTGCGCCATCTGCATGAAGAGTGATTGCTGGTGGAACCTCTTGCTGTGGGACAGGCCGATCATTTACAGCACGTGCAGCAATCACGGTAGGAGCTACATCTGCTGTTCCCAAACCAACATTGGATGCAGAAGAGATCGGCAAAGAGGACGGAGCTGGCGTCGGGCAAACTGCGGGAGTGGGGGGTGGGGGAGGGAAGGCGGGAGGGGGAAGGGGAGGGGGGGGCGGAATCCACTTCGGCGTGGTGCCACGGGAGGGGGGAGGGGCAGAAGTGGGGAGGGGAGGGGGGGGCAAAGGGGGAAGGGGAGAGGAGGAGGGTGAAGGGAGAGGTGGGGGAGGAGGGGGGGGAAGAGATGTGCCGGTACTGCGTCTCTTTCCTGAGGTATCCATGGCAAACTGATCAGCAACTACCAAAAGTACAGCTCATGTACTCAACTTGCAGCCGAAGACCTGCGACAAGTCAGCGGTGAAGTCAGATTCGGGAAAGTCAATCAGATCATAGAAAGTCAGTGGGAAAGTCAGCATTCAGGTTTCGGTAAAGGCATTTGGGAAAGACTCACTGAGAAAGTCAGCTTGCAAGCACGGATATAGAATCAGGGAAAGTCATCCAATGCTTATACAGTCAATCGGGAAAGTCAACGCCAGAGCTACCTCTGGGAGACACGGCGCCCATAGGGAATGCCGTTGTGAAGCACACTTGACACATCGTGTCGCAGGTCTGATCTGTCGGTGCATACTGTCAGGGAAAGTCAGCAGCTGTCAGGGAAAGTCAGAGGCTGCACGGGAAAGTCAGAACATGCAATCAGAAGCATTACCATAGGATACACGCGAATCACTCATGAAACTGCACATGAAACTGCACTGCACTCCTACCCGCAATCAACAGTTATGTAGTCGCAAGCTGCACGAATGTGCCCATGCCGACCACTGCAGGTACGTTTACCTGTCTCAATATCACGGAGCTTCGTTGGCAGAGGCCGTGAAATGAGACCCTCTGCCCCCTGCTGCTTAACTCACTCACATCTCTTGGAAACAGAGTTGGACACACACACACACACACGCACACACATCTTCCGGACAGAAGGCGTGCCGCCATCATTGTCACTTGGCTGACTTGCGCACGCGCCTTCCCAGCATAATCGATGGCTCTGAACCCACATCTGGAAATCGGTCCATCCACGTCCACTCCCTCGAACTCAACCAACCACTTCACCAAGTGAAACCTCGGAAGCATGAGACGAGGCTGCACCCCTGACCATCGTTCAGCGTGCAATGCCAAGAGCCAAGCCAACCAAGTTGACAAGCTATCATCAGCCTTGCACGGGAAATCATCGAAGTCCGACGACTGACTTTGTCATTTGATGTGTCAAGGGGCGGCGTCTTGAGCTCCTTATCCAATGGCGCATTCTTGTTCGCACCCTTGAGGATGAGGTCGTGCACCTCACAGGAGACTTCGAGTGTAAATGTTCCGCCGCAAGTGAAATGGCACAAGCTTGTACGTTCTCTAGGTTCGCCTCCTGGATGCTGCCCTTGACGCATGCCTCGCTTCTGTTTTCAGCTACTGGTATCGCGGGCTGCCGGCTGCCGGGCTGCAAGGAAAGCGTCGCTGCCCCCTCGAGGCGTCGCCGCTGTGTCGCTGCAGGCCGGGCCCGGCCTCCTCGAGGCGGAACTCGAGCTCCGGCAGGCGGTCCCTGAAGAAGTCGTCAGTGAAACGTTCCGGAAAAGGCCTGCCGGGGCTCCATCGATGTTCCCGTTCTGTTGCGAGGGTTGCGAACCCCATGTCCACAACAAAGAATACCGCAAACACAGCAGCAAGAAAGCTGTGGCTTCCTACGTGGCCCTGCGCGCCTTTCATCCAAGGGTGGATAGTCCGATTGTGGCTCCGGCAGGGAGTTGAAGAGCTCTGCCCACACCTCGGCATGCTTGACAGAGCTAGCAGCTAGCGGGGCATGCTCACACTTCTACCTTCGTTTGCATCCCTTGTGCCCTCTGAGCGAACAACACTGGAGCCGGCCATGCTTTGAGTCGAGGCCTGCCAAAGCTTTGAAACTATCAACGCGGTGCGATCCACCTGCGATAGGAAATCTGCGTATTCATGCAAGTGAGACGCACAAATTAATTCTCGCAGTGCCCGAGAGCCCTGCTGAAAATGCTTCCGGTGCGTCGGTTCACTAGGACTACATGCCCCTTGCTGGTCATTTGAGCCAGCACTTGTTCATGGAAGCATGCCGAGAATCTCGTGACGGGTTTGACAGCGACTGCGCGCATCTTCATAACGACTCTCCTGCCGTTTTGCAGCCTGGCGGAATCAGCATTTGCTGAATGTCCCTGTTGTCAAGGGGACATGTAGTACGAATCCTCAACCACGAATCAATGCAGCCTACATGATATGTGTGAGCACATGGCAAAGAGCATATCATCTCGCCCTGAGACATGACTTGGTGGCATATGGCACAGGCTTCCATAGATGATGACAATTGAGAGCATGGAAGTGCTGCTAGAATAGCAGCAATGGCCTGCTCCGAATTCTCCGACCTGGGACGGCTGTCCTCGACCGGTTCAGGTTCGGGTGCCGCAGGTACAAGCTGGTTGGGCCACCTGTGTACCGATGCTGGCAAGTAGCTCCAGCGGACCATCTTCTCTGCCCGCCGTGGCGTATGTCCCAGATCCAGGAGCGCTTCTTGCAGCGTAGCTTCAGAGATTGCAGGATTGTAGGAAACTCGCTGCCCGACAGTCTGAAGCCGTGCACGTCGCACGCATTTGATGTGGATCCACTTTGGGCGCAGCATGAGATCTTCGAGCATGTAACCCGCAATTAGCTCTCCCATCCTGAAGACCTGCTGGCATAGCTTGCAATTCCTCGGCATGTCGCCGCGGAAAAAATCCAAATACATAGCTGCCAGGTGTGAATCCAGGCGCGCAGCAGCTCTGAAACTAGCGGCGACTCGGTAGTTACTCACCTGCGCATCTCGAATGCCAGCTTGCGGGAGTATCATTTCTAGATCATCTGAAATTTTGATTCTGGATTCCGCCGGTGATCTGGATCTTCCCAGATTTGGCGGCCTACGCTGGACCACAGTGCTAATTTGTTTGCAGTTTCTCGGACGAGCACTTCGTCCACGAGTGCACAAGGGAGGGCCGGATTCGCATGTATCTTCGATGATAACAGGAAGCAAGTCAAAGTCAACACTTTCGCACTGTACTTGGGCGTCACATTGCGTCACTGCAGAATACGAGGCGGCCATCAGTGTTGCGCACGGCTGCGCAAAAGAGCAGAATTCAACAACTCTGTGTAGAACAGTGCAGGATGAAGACTACGACCAAACAGACTGTGAAGATAGGGCTAGGGAGTCACTGCTGCAGATTGCCGCAGAAGACAACAAGCAAGGCATCAGCAGCCGAAAGAGAGGCCAACTTGACGGGGTCTTCTGAGCTGCGAACGATGTCGATAGGCGACTGGTCCTGTGCCGCGGAAAGAACCGGCCAGAGGCTTCAGCTAGGCAAAGTTCAAGAAGCGCCAAAGTGCATCCGAGAGGCCCCGAAGCCGCCGCACTTGGAACCGCCTTAATATTCGAATCACATTCGCTTTACCCTCTAACATCGAAGCTGCGCCACTATTGCCGACAAAGAGCTCAGCTTGCCCCACTGGCCCTGTCTTACGCTATAATACAAAGCGTTCATCACAGGCGAAACCTAGACCTGCATGCCGTCTGCAGTTTTCACATGTCCTGGTTCGAATACGTCCATGGTGGACCGTGTGACTCCTGCGAAGTACAGAGATGTCCTGTGAACTGCAGCTCAGCACACTCGGCAACCTCTGCAGCTCTGCGCGCTGTGGCTGATGATGCACTCGCGCGTGCAGCTTGCGAGGCCTGCAAACAGGAGAAGGAGAAAAAAGAGCTTCTGGAAACAGATCCACGCTGAGCGAAATGCCAGCTCAGCTGCGAGGAGCAGCCAGAAGCTCCACACTGCCTGTTTTCTCGTTCGTAAAGACTTTGTCAGGATGGCATGTCGTTGTAGGCGACAGACCGGTGAGAGCCAGCCCATCAGATGATCTTTGCGTTACCTCTGACATTTGTGGTCTGTCGACTGAAATCGCTTCCGCATCACAGCGTGCCTGTAGCCACATACGCTCTGCATGGCCGAAACGCACGATGAATCTTTTCAATCTGCTGCAAGGCACAAAGCTGTTTGTGCAGAGGTGCAGTACGTATGAGATGATTGTATCTTTGTTCGTGGTACCATTTTCTGTCCGTCGCGAGCCGTGTCACAGCATGGCTGCCAAAGTGGCATTGCTTCGTTGGGGGCATGAGGACGACTTCATGGCTCTCCAGCCGAAACACTGCAAGCTGACGCGCCCGATGCACCCCAAGCACTCTGAACACCACTCTGCAGTCTCCAGCATTGCAGCCAAGCAGATCAGAGATGCAAGTTGTTCGTGACGCTTTTGTGCTCGGTCTCCACATGTAGTTTCAAGCCGGATCTCAACCACCCGACTTGTTGATGTAGCCGTGACATCAGACCTTGACCGGTATTCACGGTCTACTTACTTGGGCGCATCATCAGCATGCTTCCGATGGCAGCTACAACTAACACTTCCAGTCAGTCAAAGACACGACAGGCAGCCTGTGTTCGTACCATCAATGTAAACGAAAACCGCGAACTATCTGATGGCCCTGACGGCAACAAGTCGTCAACAAGCCCTGGCATCCACAACTGCACAACCACCAACGACCGACAGCATGCCCTCTGACTGGCAACCAGCATCAAACAAACGCTCTAAGGTCTGATTCTTCCTCACACTCAAAGCTTGGAGCACCACAGCGGGCTTGCTGCGCATGGCTAGTGGGAGGCAGCACTCCAAGAACTTGTTCCTCCGCATGAAGGGTGCTGCAATGCCATTGCCATCACTTCTCTCTGACTGTGTTGCAAACATCTCCACACTCGTCTGGCCACAAGGGCTGGCAATAAAGGATGTAGCTCTACTCCCACAAGAGGCGCATGGTGGGCAGACCTGACTTCCCAGAAAGTACCCCAACGTTCTTCCCGCCTTTGCAGGAACTTGGCCAGGTTGTGGATCCTTGGTGTCTGCTCTGTTGCAAGGACACACCGTGTGTCGCGCAAGTCTCGCTAAATGATCGCCTTAACATCCGCCAGCAACATAAAAGTCGTACGGTAACTGGAAGAGACACACAGTCTAAACTGGAATCGAGCAGACGAGAGTTCCGAACTGATGTTGGGGTGTGTGGACAAGATCTGCAGCCTGCTACCAGTACGCTGGTAAGTACAAGCGCATCTGCAGACAAGTCTCTGAAAAGCAGCCACACCCGTAATGAGCAGAATCTGGCACAGGCTTGGACTTCTGATTCGCCTCTCTGCACATCTCTCGCATCTGCAGCCTGCAGAAACTTGAAGGCTGCAACATCCATGTTGACGGCTTCTGAAGTCTTCACAAACTTTGTCTCGAAGCTGCGCTCGTAGTCATTCTCCGTGCTGATGGCCTTTCTTCGAATGCTCCGTAAGCCCATCGAAAATGAAAACTCTATGTGAGGGTGCTGCATTTATCCTTTCCAAGATCAGGTCCACCTGGGCCTGCAAAGCTCCAAGCTGCGAACAAACACCAGAACTTCGAACGATCAAATGCTGGCCTGTGTGCCTTTCAACAGGGAAAGGCTGGCTGCGTTCTTCGGGTCCTCTTGGAAACAGGTATCTGAGAGTCTGAGAGTCAGCTCAACTGGCACATCGGCTCGCGAGTCCGGAAGCAGGCCCATGCTGGAAGCGCCTGGTCGCGAACTCCAATCTCAAACTCCAGCAGCTTCTAGCAGTCTATAGCAGTCTATAGCAGTCTAGCACGCAGCTACCAGTAGCAACCATAGCTTCAACCAGGACTGCTCGACCAAGCACATCGAAGGCGATGGACCTGGACATGGATTTCTCCAGAGCAGCGTTGCTGAAACAGGCGAAACAGGCCAGTCGAGCCAGCGCAACTTCCTGCAGCCAATCACAGACTCAAAGCTCCCAAAGCATGGAGAAGTGGCCCCCTGGCATGGCAGACTCCTTCCGCGACCGAAGTCCAGGATCGAAGAGCCCTGGCAGATCGATCGTGGTCTCAAGACGCAAAGCAGTCTGAAAGCATTCCTGCCACTTTCGTTCTTCTGGGATTCTTTACCATCCAGGAATCTAGACGTGCGGGGCTGTGGTGCTGTGCTGTGCTCTACTCTTGGGTGAAGGCTCGAGTGGCCAACGAGGCTCGGGAAACTGGCAAAGCCCCAGCACCACTGTGTGCGTCAGCAGGATTAAGCAGTGTCCGTGGTCCCCACCCTGGCATCGCCGACGTCGTACCCTGCATTCTAAAGGACGCAAACGGTTACGATTAAGGCTTGGCTTTAGGCCTGCGCAGCGGCAGTGTGAAGAACTTCGTTCTCCTCACGCATCCTGCACATCGCTCCTGCAGAAGCTCAACACCTGCATGGGGAAGCAACATCGCCCCAAAGCATGTGGGCATAGAGGACAGGGCCAGAAATGGCAAGACGCGTCGGAAGCTTGGAAATACGGGCCGGGCTCGAGGAAGACCCGTTCCGACGGCAGGGACAACAACCCGATTACCCGCCTACGACTTGGAATGGCGAAATGCGCCAGAGATGTCTGTGGTCCGAGAGGTGCGATCGGAGCCGCCCCGTGCTCCGGATGCCATTGCCCAACGAGTTCAGGCAGCCGTCAAAGGTGTTCCGGTTCAATAAGGAGGCTGCGCAAACATCTTGCATACAGCGCTCGATGCCTTCAGAGCTGGGCTCCAAGACCCGGCAACTGCGGTCCACAGAGCACAGCATCCTCAAGCACTCAAGCACTCCCTGTTGCCGTTGCGGAAGCACCGCCCTGTCTGGACTTCACGCCGGCTGCGTCTGACCTGCTGCTGGGCTCCCTCCGAGAGGCCGAGGTGTCGGACGGGAGCATTAGCAGATGGTTGCCAATGTCATAGAGCCTATCTCTGTTGCGCAACACGAACCACCGCTTGAAGGAGCTAGACTGCGAGCAACCAGGTGTGAGCGACGCTGCAGATGACCTGCTGCTCCTAGTGGACCCTGGGCTCACTGGGTTTTCCCTGTTGACGCCATCGCGAAGGCCGATGGGCATCCATTCAGCCTGTTTTGTTTTGTCCTGGGCGAAAATAGGAGCCTCGGAAACACTACAGGATGGCAGCGGCAGCCGGTTGTCAGGTGCGACCTTTGGGACTTTGTTCTGTCCCTTTGAGGACCCTCATACTCTGGTTAAGTTTCACCTGAATTTATCTTGCTAGGCGAGTGTTGGATCTCCAAGCCTACCGCGTGCGAATGGAGAAAAACCGTTAGGTGAACCTTTCTCATCGCCAAAAGCGGGAAACCAAGTCTTACTTGGAAACGGGGCAGCAGATCTGCTGGGCCAGGCCTGTGCCGCGCAGTGCACGCAAATGCTGTGGGTCCCCGTTGCTTTGGGAAGCAGCGCTAATGCCTCAGTCCGCCGGGCTGATGTGAACCCCTTCTTGGGCTCTAGCTCACTCTGGGCCGGCAACCCCACTGTTTCCATCGACGAGAGCATGGTCCTTCACCACCTGGCACCGGGCAACCATCCAACATTGCTGCAGCCCCGTTGCTCGAGCCTCCTCAGCTGGACTTTTCACGAGGATTCGACACTCTGCCAGCGGCAACACCTGCAGCACAATGCCATTATGATGTGGGAGAATGCGTCGATGTTTGCTGGCCTCCTTGTCATTCATGTTGTAGATGACTCTCAGGATCTGCACGTGTAAAGATGCCAAAAACTCCAGAAGAAGCACGACCATCATCATGCTGGCCTGGCCTGGTTTTCTAAGACCTCAGAGACTCAGCGTGTGCTTCTTTGAATCCTTATGGAGCATTGTGACCCTCAGTATCCGATTCGAGCTATAAAGGCAGGCACACTTTAGCTAGGGAGGCAGAGGAGAGAGCAGTTTAGGCAGAGGCATTCACCGTGTAATCCGGAGCACAGAACGGCACAGCTTCTGAGCCTCACACCTCCTGCTGGAAGCATCTCTCGGAGCCCTCCTGAAAGACTGCTAAAAATCACTTCCCGCAACGACCCTCGGCACATCAGAGGCACAGCCTCCACAAAGAAATAGGCGGCGCGAACTCCGGGGACCCAAAGCCAAAGCCCCAGAAGCCAAGGCCAAAGCATGGCTCTGCATTGGCCAAGGCCCGGCCAGGGCCCAAGGCACTCTGAGGCACTCTATTATGACAGTTTCAAAACAAAATATGATGCTCTGAAGAGCTGAAGAGCACAGAGTGCTTGTGGGGGCGTGGCAGCCGGGAGAAAACTTGGAAGACTGCCCGTAAAGGATGCGAAATGCCGGTGCACTTAAACCGACTCGTGTGGCTGTTGTAATGGATATAGAGACGCTGCGAGCAAAAGCATGAGCGAGACGCCGATGTCAATTTGCCCTCGCAGACAACCTGAAGGCTTCACCTGAGATCTCGGAAACTGCAAGCCTGGCAGGCCATGTATCTTTCGATCCCTTACGGCGCTTCGCAGGAAGTGAGGGAAGGGGTCCCTTCTGGAATTCGCTGGTATCAAGGTCCTCCTCGCCACGACAGTCGGAACAGTGCCGCGAGCCAGGTACAATTTTGCACGGGCCTTTATGAGCAGGACATTGCTTGAACAAACGTGCTCCACCAGAGTACTCACGCTCGCAAGGGTTGCAACAGAATTGGCCGGGCAGCGCTTTCGCATGGCAGTCGTCGCTTGCACAGATATTATAATGAATCGGCCGAGGCATCCGTGAAGAGGGTTGCAGAAGAGTTCGCTGATGCTTGAAAGGACATCCCTTCAAGATGCAGGCATGGAGATACGGGCACAAAGGCGGGTCGTTGAAGACCATCTTTCGCTTAAGAATTCGCTCATCGGGCACGGGCTCTGCTGTGCCCGCAGCAATGCTACGTCGCTGCGCCTCGAATGGCCACAAAGGCGTCTCCACCTGACTCGCCAGCTCGCCATCCATCAAGCTGTCACAAGGTGTTGCAAAGAGCAAATGTCATACGTCCTCTAAGGGGGCCAAACCTGGTCTCAGAAGTTCGAGGACTGAAGAGGGAGGTGAGGTGTCCGGACCGGTGGCAGTTTCAGCCACGAAGTAGTACGGAGAGACAAGAACGGCAACTACAATATCTCTCAAAAACACTCAGGAGCCAAGGGCTGTGGAAATGAAGCTGAACCAAGCGAACACAGGACAAGGCCAACGGCAAAACAAAACCATGGCGAGGCGCTTGGCACACTTCCCATCACAGGATTCCAGTGCTGGCTTGCATTGACTTTGGCTTCTGCCGCAACAGCTAGACATTGCTAGCCCCAAAAGGCTGACGCATTGTACACTGCTTGTCAGCAAATGAATACAAGGAACAGAACAGCCGCAGATTCACTTCGGCAATACATCATGGCAAAATAGCCTGCTTTTCAGGCTCTGAATTCGCATCCTGTTTCAGTGACGACGGGCAGGCTTGGCTGGTGAGGACAACATCCACGTTCCATGGCCTGCATGGTGAAACGATGAAACCGACCAGACTGGTAGATGTGCAGCGCATCATCTTACTTTTAAGCATGTTGCTTGACCAGGTTGATGATGAAGTGGTCCTGGTCCGGGCCTGGGAAGGACATCGTTCCGGGAATCGTGAACGCGCGAAGCACAGCTTCGACTTGAAAGGCGATGAAACGCGGGCCTCCCTGCATGCTACGAGTAACTTGCGGATGCATTTTTGCAACGCTGCCGGCTTGCTTTCTTTTCTGGTTTGAGACTGATCACACGCAATCTTCACGAGGCCCATTCGCAGCACGGTGCTGAAGTCTTCTGAGGGATGGTGAAAACTGCAGCATGATGACACCACGGAGTTGATTTTCTGAACCCAGGTCTGAGACCCGAGCAGTAGCGAACAGTATACTCCGAGCCCGAGAGGCCACACCTGGATCAGCGCAGTCTGACTGCGGCGGACAAAGTCTGAGCGTGAGGCAGCGTTGAGGCCGGGTACTCTTGTTCATCTGCAATCGTGATGACATTGTCATTGTTGTGAAAAGCTGCACCGGAGCACTGGCCCGTCTGGGGGCCATTCATTTCCATATCAACCTGAGCACAGGCTTACGTCCGAAGGCTTCCATTTTGACCTGGATGGTCTGACATGTCGGCTCTCCAGCATAAAGCGAGAACATGCACGGGGAATGTTGAAATGAAAGGGACATGTGCTGTAGAAAGCAATGCCGCTGAAAACGAGTGAACCTTCATGGAACCTTTGTCGTGCAGTCAGGTAGCCACTCCGGAAGAACCGTCGTAGCTGACAACCTTGATCGCAAATGTCTCCACCAAGAGCTGCCCGCCGTAGCCTTCAAGACCCGTTGATAGCCCTCGAAGACTGCTGAGACAGCGCTATAATGAGGCTGAGTCTCTGCACGGCTGACGCAGAACTGCTACTGCATCAGAGCTGACGTGAACGCAGAAACCAACCCTTTCTCATGGAGACTGTCCGCGTTTCTCGTCTCGGCGAAAGAGTCTTCTGGTACACAAATGCTGAGAAAGCCTACAGCCGGCTTGGTGTGAAGAGGGTGAAAATTCAATAAAGCCCCTTGCGGAATCGATCTCGTGATGGCGAACCACATTGAAACGAGCACTCGGCACTGAGTGTTGAGAATTCGTTCCCGGCAGAAGCACACAACCATACAGGAAAACTCTACCTACCTGTGCTGAAGTAGACATGCGGCCAGAGGCCTTCAGTCAAGCTGCAGAGAGGAGCAACGTTGGGGAAGTCTCCAGTTCCTGTGCAGTCGGGAACGTTGCCGGAGCTGCTCGACATGCCTCGGAGAAGCTTTGCGGGAGTAGGTATGCTCTGTAACACTTTAGGGATGCAGGGAGCGGGAGTGTTGGCCTTACGGAGGCCTTCGTCGCTACTCACCGACTACGAGTATAGGATATAGGTTAAAGCTCGAGCTTATGCGCTTACAACTGATATACACAAGGCTCCACAGCTTCGGATTCGTCGAGTCATTGTAGTATCAGGTTGAGACAGATGTGTCCAAACCAGGAATTACCACCCCTGTATCTGAATAAGTAACAGGGCGCGAGCAATGAGATCGTCCGCTCCACGAAGCGAAGGTTCAGGCCTGAGCAGGGCTCGAAAGGCATGGTCAAACACATTTGCACTCAGATGTCGTGTGCGCGCCTTTGTGGCTCTGCAACCGCGCAGGCGACAACAAATGCGAGGATCCAACGAGTCATTGCGAAACTGGATGTGCTTCCCCGTTGCTGTCGCTGTCGTACTCGAGCCGCGAAAATGCTCCGAATCGGGCTCGTCTTGCATCGTACTTCAGACATCAGGCCGGTGAAGGATCAAAGTCGCAGGCAAATCTTCTCTGGCAGCTCCGTTTTCAAGCAAATGGCCGCCTTGGGCCGTGGGTGAAACTGCATCAAGAGCTTCGCTTGACAGGCTTACATGTCTGCAAATGTCTCTGTGTGTGTGCGACTCTGCATTGACGCTGATCACGGCCGCATGGGCAAAGTGCGACCTCGACAACTAGCAGATGCTGTGATGGGCCTGAGTGCGGCAATCCAGCGCTGCTACTGTCTGCAATCGACCTCCCGATGGAGATGGTAGCGCGGGGAGCGATGCAACTTCTGCTAGCAGCACCTGTCACTTGAGCTGTAGACTTTACAGAGCCTCGAATGAAGATGACAGGAAAGCCGCAACATGTCAATTCGCTTCGGTTCACACCTTCTCCGTCTCGCTGGCCCAACCTTCAGGATTCATCGCTGCTTTCGCGACGCGTGTACTGACATACTGGGACCGAAGCCGTCCACGAAGAACAGCAGGAATGCAACATAATCGATCAAACCTCGATCTGCGATGCGAGGAGCGCCACCCTGTGTTACTGGTAGCTTCTGCTCTGGAGTGTCAGGCCTATGACAGTGGCCATGATAAACGTGAGAGCCACCTGATCAGCGCCATAAACCCATGAGCACTTTTGATGGTAGGAGTTTTGAGGCAACCGGCCTGTTTTGCGCTGTGGTCGCCGTTGTACCAACCTTGGAAACCATTATTGCACCATCTTCCGCATTCACTGTCAGGTTAATCCACTCGTCTTCTGAGCAACGCGCGGGCCCAAGGCATCGCGGGCATCAGCAACAACGACACAATGACTGCCTGCACACAAGCCTAACATTGCGCCAGCGTGCTTGCCGCTTTGGTTCGGCTGTTGAGTGCTGAGACCGGTGCTGCAAGCATATGATGCCGCACAGCCTGACTTGGGACACAGTTGTGCTTGATTGCCCAAGGCCGATCAATGAGCCCACAGTGCCACAGTGCTATAGTGTTGCATGGAATGCAACACTACATCCAGCACTCACTCAGTCAAGGCGACAAGAAATGCGTGTGCATCACTATGTCATGTGCCATTAGAGATCAGCTCCAGCATATCATGTGTGACTGCCCGAAATGCGCCTCCAACATATAGAACGTCAAGAGGCACTGACAAATCCTTGCAGACTGCCGAACGTAAGATGAAGTGAGACATCAGCTCGAGAGATATAGGCGTGCGATTAAGGCGAGCACATGACATGGCCCGAAGGCATTCCAGGAAGGAGCTTGCCGTCATCTGTCCTGCACCACGTCGCTGATGAAGGAGCCGGGCCGAATCGAGAACGCTGAGTCGCAGTGCGCCGGTCTTTGGCTTTATTTCCAAAACACTGAATCTGCATGGTTGGGATACTCTTGCTAGTCGCATTTCTGTAGAGAAAAGACATAAGCAGATGCGTCAAGCTTGCAAAGTGCCAAGCTTCGACTTTGCAAGCATCATTCCACATGCCACCCCTAACACCACGGGAAAAGCCCATGGTGGATATGAGGCATCCGTCGATTGCCGCGACTAAGGAGACATCTGCGTCCTGCAAGCGGACGTCGACGGCCGTGGCTCGCTGATGAGGGGCTTGAGAATGAACTGACAGAGACCACATCAGGATCGAAGTCGACATCCGCCAAAATGCAACAGAACTGCCTCGGACAAGAGGGAGGTGATGATCACCTCTTTTTGTCTCTGGAACCAAACTCGAATCAAACAACGGATAGGAAGGACGACATGGGTGCATTTGATGATCTGTCTATCTGTGTCGCCCAAGAAGGTCCCCACGAGCACTGTCTCAGAGAGTAAAATGCAACGGCTCAGGTCGCACGGAGAGCCGATGCGAAGTCGCACTGCAAGAAAGTGCTGTACAAGCAGTGTTGAGAATACGAGGTCACCAAGGCTGGACAAGCGGGGACTCTCGAACCGTAGTAACAGAAAGGCTACCAGCCTCAAAGCGGGTCAGAAGGTGGCCGGTCGCCGCAGATGCGGCGAGGTAGAAGAGCTCGAAGAGAAACAAGCGTGTTAGAAGGAGACCAGTCAAAGTGATCTCTCTCACTCGCTTTCTCTACCAGGTCAGAGGGATAAGGCAACTTCCTATGCAGGGCTTGTGTGACAATGCTACCCCATGTTCTTCGCCGACCGCAAGGCTTGCTGCGACAGGGTGGCGGCCCTTTGGGTTCCACAACCTTCGTGTCTCCTGACATGCCAAGCCTTTCAAGTGGGTCTCCCTTTGCTGGCTCGCCTCTTGCCAGATTGCTTGCACGGCGCCCTCGCTTGTGCACTACAGCCCTCAAGTCTGCATATGAGTTGAGAGGAGAGGACATTTGAGCGGTCAGAGGATACGCTGTGCTGGCGGCATGTACGGCTGCCGCTTCAGGACTGTGATTAATGAATTCCCAGCCCTGAAAGTTAGCCTGCATCCCGGCCTCATTTCCCGACCCCACTGGCTCGGCCCTAAGATGACCTGGGTTGTTTCGTTGGTTCTCCTGAGCCCATTCAGGACGCAGCGTGTGCGCTCTGCCCGTAAGCGTGTGCGCGCACTAGGGACTGTGGGGCGGTTCTCGCTCTTCTTCGTCAAGGTTTGGGGGATGTGCAAAATCCCCCGGCCACTTGGGCCCCTTTTCTTTGTTGTGGGATTGTCGGGATGTGAATGTTCCAGGATTTACTCACGTCTCAGGAAGAACATAGTGCAAATAGTATATTACGATGTGGCATACGAGCGTCCCCGGATTGTTACCGACACATGCATGAATTTCGGTCATGACATCCCGTTACAAAGCATATGCTTAGGATGTCCGGCCTGTTCCCATGATCAGTTCGGAAGTGCTCCACACATCGGCAAGGCAGTGCAAAGGTAGGCTGGTGGAAGGAGGTTCCGAAGGCTGAGGGACGACCATTGGGGGAGCTCCACCCTTTTTTCTTGAGCGTATGCTCTCTTCCATCTTTAAAAACATCAACAGAGGCTATCAACTAACACAGCAAAATTGTTAAGTCACTCCTCTACGACGAACCAGCAGGATTTACAAGTCTTGTCTGAGCCCTACGGATGTTGCACGTCTTGAAAGGCTCCTCGCACGATATCGTGCCAACGAAATCAACGAAAAGTGTGTAGTCGCACATCCTGTCTCCGAATTCTTGAACAAGAGAGACATCGAGGTTGTGGATTCTCGGGGTACAGGTTCAGGCCCCATCATGTAATTTTGTCCAGACAACCTTCATGGAAACAGTGGCACTGGGTTGAGCTCGAACAAATACAATATGTTGGGAAGTTGTTTCTCGGAGTTTGAGAACGATACATGCACATGTTGACGGGTCTCACAGTCACAATTCAGGCTCGAGCACATCTGAGGTCCTAATGCCTATACGCGACAAGCCATCAAGCACAACTACCACTTCGTGTGAGCCCCCCATGCATTGGGAATTTCAGTGGAAAAACAAGCCTGGTAAGCAAACGTCACGTGTCCCACTCTCTCTCTCTGTCGCTCGCTCCCTCTCCTGATGTTTCCCCAGGGCGTTCTTTCTTTCGACAGGGCTATGGTGGAGGGTTGTGGCCCAGGGAGTTCTTCGTCTGTCTCTTCCTTCCTTGCTTCCGCAGGCTCTGAGTCCGGTTGCCCCGACCGGCACCTCGGCACCCCCTCCCCCATCTGGTTTCAGAGAGAAAACGGCATTGGGGTCTTGAGCGAATGCGAGCATGCCCCACGGTCGGCTTGTCTTGTGGCGTCTGGTGGTCGCTGAACCGTGCGACCCTGTACACCAACGCTCATCCCGGCCTCATCTCCGCGCCCTCTACGACTCTACGGCAACTCCTAAGTTCCGCCCCCCAAGTCATGCTATAAGCAACTTAAGTTCGCCCTCGCCTGCACTAAATGATATAGTGTGTAACTGCGTGTCCCGCAGCCTTTCCCCGCTGGTATAAAATTTGAAAAACAACAAGGACATCCAACTATATACACTTTCACGACTGCTGGTTTCCCGGCTGCGGGTGGTTTCCCGTCTAACGGCAATTGACTGTGCACAGCGTTTGGATGCGTTTGGTTTCGGGTTCAAAAATGAAGAGTGCCTCAGCCCCGGCATGGGCTCAGCGGCTCGTCAGGATGAGGGCACGAGTGTGTACGTGCATCTTCCCCCACATCTCACGCCAAGGGTAATAAGTTCTCGCGCGCATCGTGTTTCAGGCAGCTGGCTCTTTCTCTCTCTCTCTCTCTCTGTGTCTCCATCTCTCTCGCGATCTCGCTTCACTTCTTCACTTCACAAGGGTTGAGTCCACTCGCGTGGACCCGGGCCAAGGCCCCCGTTTCCCCTCCGCGTTGGTGGGAGAAAGGGCTTTGGGGTCAGTGGAAGGGTTTCCAAAGGTCGGTTTGGCAGGAAGAGTGCGTCCATCCATCATCCCCCGACCCTGTACACTAACGCGCATCCCGGCCTCATCTCCGCGCCCTCTACGGCAAATCCTTTGGCCCTCGATGGACGCATTCCTCTAGCAGTGCTCTCCGGAAGGTAGTCCTCCCCCTTCTGCCACAAGCAACACAACTAAGCCAGCAGCAAGAAACATAGTTTACAACTTTGGGTAGGTGGACTACAAAGGCGTGAGCTGCTGCAAACCTGTGGGTCCCCCGCTTTGGCAGTACGAAGCAACAGCTGAAACAAACAACCGTGCACGTAACGAAGACAGCGGGCTTTCCTTTCAGGGAGGTATTGTAGTGCACGGCAGCAGTAGGAAATTATGGTTCCCCCTGTCGGGGTCCCCCGCGCTGTGTCGCCCCTCAAAACTCTAACACGAATTTGCTGTGGGCATGTTCCCTCAGAGCTTCTTATTCGAATTTCGGGCACTCGGCCCATGCACTGTGGTGGGTTGTGGCTCAGCGGCCCGTCCTATTACTTAGGAAGCGAGTTGGCTTCCCAAGGTCGCGCAGGCTAGGGGGCCAAGCAGAAAGCACAAGAATCCTGAAAACCCCCCAACACAAGTAACTATTCACTCGCAGTCGGCTCCCCTGCAAAATTGCGACGCTCACGCTACCTTTGGAGGGTGGCAAAGTGCCTTCCCCCCCCATGCTCAGTGTTTGGGCTCGCGCTCAGTACGGGAACTCGTCGGCGTAGTTCTCTCCGGTTGTGCTGCCATGTGGTCTTGTACCCTGCGTACTTGCCAGGCCGCCTTCTTCGGGTTGGGATCATGCACCTGGGACCCCATGTTTGGTTGAGGATAAGCGCTCCGGCCTCGTCCCCGCCTCTGCATTCTTCGGGTTGAGACCACGCACCTGGAACCCCGTATTGGTTGAGGATAAGCGCTCCGGCCTCGTCCCCGTCTCCGCCTTCTTCGGGGTGAGAGCACACACCTGGGACCCCATATTGGTTGAGGATAAGCGCTCTGGCCTCGTCCCCGCCTCCGCCTTCTTCGGGCTGAGACCACGCACCTGGGACTTATCTCGTCCTTGTCTTCTTCGGGATGAGACCAAGCCGGACGTCGAGAACGGGTGTTCCCGTGCAGGCCTTCTAGCTCCGTTCGAGGATGGTCATTTGGCACAGGGGGTGTTTCATTGTCGTTGGGGATAAGGCTTCGGGGGCGGGGGGGGGGCTGAGACCACGCACCTGGAACCCCATATTGGTTGAGGATAAGCGCTCCGGCCTCGTTCCCGCCATAACCGCCTCCGTCTTCTTCGGGCTCCCGCAGGCGAGCCCGCACGGCGAGCCCGCACGGCTTCGTTCGCGCTTCTTGTTCGAGGATGGTCACCTGGCACAGGGGGTGTTTCATTGTGGTTGGGGATACGGTTTCGGGGGCGGGGGGTACTGGCGGGGGGGAGTCAGGGGCTGAGCAAGCAGAGGAGGTGGCCCAAACCACAAGTTTGGGGGAGTCGAAGGAGGACAGGACTGCGAAGCGTGCGAAAAAGGAGAGCAGTGCGTCCGAGACCAGACTGGGGGGGCACAAATAGTGCAAGCCCAGAGAGAGAGGAGGCGGGGAGGCGTATTGGAGTCCTCTTCCCCCCTCTGTGGCTGTAGTGGTCCGGCTGCAGGTTCGCTCGGCCTTGTTGTAATTGAAACTGGTCTGGCCTTCTGCGGTGGCTCCCGCTGGCTCACTTGGCTTAGCGGCAAGCCCTTCTGTACCATCACTTCTGTCAGACGGTCGCCCTTCCAGGCCCCATGGCCAGTGGTCCATTCCAGGTGCGTGCTATCACCCCGAAGAAAGCGGAGGCGGGACGAGCCGCCCCTCTCACTGGCCCACCTCCTCCCTCCCCCCGCCAGTACCCCCACCACGATGAAACACCCCCTGTGCCAGGTGACCATCCTCGAACAGAGCTAGAAGGCCTGCACGGCAGCACCAGGCACCCCAACGTCCGGCTCCCCACATGCGTGGTCCGCATCTTGGTTCCTCCCTGTCTGGGTTCCCCCGAGGCACTCGCGGATCCTTGCCCGCATCTTTTCCGGATCCTCCATGCTTTTTCCAACATGCTTTTGACCTGGCTTGGGTACTTCATCACATACGCTCGGTTTTCGTCAGCGACTTTGGGTAAATATTTGTCCACGGTCTTGACGAGGCGGTCTGCCATTCCCCCCACTCTGTATCTTTCGACCGTCCTTTCAAGGTACTGGGTATATTCGGCCTCCTCCTCTGCATCGAGCAGCGGCGCGGTCTCCAGGTTTCTGTATCCCCCTTCACAGGGTTCGACGGCTTTCCCAATCCATCTGTC